GGCCTAATTTCCAAGGGACAGGTGTTTCTTCTAGAAGATCCAGCAATAGCTCCATTAAACTGAAAGTTGATAATGGTGTGCTGGCCACCTCAGGCTTCTCATGCTAAAGAACCAACAAACAGACATGGGGATACTGAGCTGGCAGGGGTAATTATGACCATCAGGGAGAAATTGGATCACTACTAGACAATAGGAGTGAGAAGTATATCTGGATGAAAGGCACATTTTACACTCTTACATCCTGCAACAAAAGTAAATGGAAAACAACCCAATGCAGGCAGGACTGCCAAAAGCTCAGATCCTTCAAAGGTGAAGAGATAGGTCACCCCAACAGGCAAGGAACCATGACCAGGTGATGTACTTGAAGACAAAGGGTTTATGGAATGAGTAATGAAAGAAGGCAGTTACAAACATCAGCTACAACCATATGATCAGCTGTAGAAAGTAGGGTGGTAAGAGTTACAAATATTTCTTACTTTTATAAAAATAAATTTGATTATATATTAATTTTTTTCTCCTCCAGCTACCATCTAAAATAAAATGTGGTAAAGGTAGTTATCTTTTCTTTTAGTTTCATTGGGCTTCTGTAACAAAGTCCCACAAACTGAGTGGCTTAAAACAACAGAAATCTGTTCTCTTAGAGTCTGGAACCTAGATGTCCCAAATCAAGGTATCAGTAGAGTTAGTTCCATTTGGAAGCTCTGAGGGACAATCCAGCAACCTTTGGTGTTCCTGCATTTGAGATGTATCTCTCCAATCTCTACCACCCTCATCATGTGGCATTTGATCCTTTGTGTACGTCCAAATTTCCCTCTTTTATATGAGGACAGCAGTACTTGGTCTAGCCTAATCCAATATAACCGCTTTAAGAATTTGATTATATCTGCAAAGACCTTATTTCCAAATAAGATCACATTTACGAGGGGTCTGGGGTTTTTTAAAATTTCAAAACACATCTTTTGGGCAAACATAATTCAATCTATAATACCCTTATATCTCAGTATTTAAATTACAGGTTATCAAAGGCAGAGTGGATCTCAACCAGAGGAGTGAACTTCACTCAAAGATGGGTTAAGTCACAATACGTGGGGCTATGTATCCTTTTTGGAGACAGGGTTACAAGTGTAGAAGTGACAGCTGCATCTTATTAGAGAGAAACATCATTTTTTCTACGTCTTTGCCTGCAAGTTATGTACGGTTAAAAGAAGTGTAGGTGGATGCCAAGTTGGCAAGGATGGAGTGTGGTGGTTTCATACAGTATCAATTTAGCTAAATGAGAAACTGCATTTCCCTTTTGTGTTTTACACTGGGTTAAGGTTAGCTTTCAGAGAAATTTACATGAGATTTGGAAGGAGGAAGTGAAGCAGCAGCCACTCTGCTCTGAAGAGGGCACCAGGCAATACGGTCGTCAGCACACAGTTTCACTGATCTGCTGGCTCACCTGGACTTGGGGCAGCACCTGTATTACTCCATTATTCCTCCTTCAGTTTCGCAAGTCCTGTACCAGGTACGCATTCAGCTCCCTGGCCAAGGGCACCAGATCCTTCTCCAAAGTCACCCACATCATTGAGATTGCTGAAAGGCAAATGTGGGTTCTAGATCTTTCTCCAGATTCCACTTCCCATGCAACACACACCTTGATACATGTGTCTTGACATTGTACAAAGGTTCTCACAGAAAAGGAAATCAGGAACCATGGGAAGCAACTGTCATGAAGCCTACCACCTCCATAGGGGCAGGACGTCTTTTTTTCCAAATGCTTTATTCCTGCCCATTCTTTTGGGGTCCAGGTCTCAATACTCATTTTCTGTTCACATCCATATATAATGATTGTATCAGATTAGAGCTTGAAACCAAACATCAACCCATATTTCCTGAGATCAGCTATTTTATGTTTGGGGACTAAAACATAAAGATAAAATGTTGTGGTTTATCTACAGAAGCCTGTTCACAAGCAAGGTGAAAGCCATATTGCTTATCTCTATTCCATGTGGTTCGCCAGATAGTTCACCATCCAGAAGATCTAGTTAGAGCAATTTATCAGTGTTTTATCTTAATCAACTTCTGAAGTGTGACTCAGGTCCCGGTTCTTCATTCTAATATAGCTTTTCATTTTTGTTTTACGGTAATCTCCAATTCTCTCTTCGCCATACTTTTATTTCCTTTTCAGAAGTTCATCTTTCCTCATGTATTGTCAATGTGTGATTGCTGCTATTTTCCCGTGTACATTTCTCTACTTGTCAACTTTTCTGCCCCACCTTCTGCCCACTTGTCCTGATCCAAAAGCAGCTGGCATAAAGGCGAGCACCATATCCTGGTTAATATGCACTGATTAGAAAAGTGTTAACTGTTGAAATAAATGTACACAGAAACTACTTTTCTGTTCAACTTCAGGTAACAGTGCCAGCTCTATCTGCTGAATCTGTACGTAACAGATTTACTCTATTGAATCATTAAATTCACTCAGCAGGAAACCATCATTGCCAGATGCTGAGAATGATGTGTGCTTCAGTCAGTCAGAGACACTGCTTTCTCAGGAAGACAACACTCAATTATTCCCCAGTTAGCCGAGGCACCTATCGAAGCCCAGAAACCTGGGGAGTCTGGTTTAGAAAGCAATAGCTTGGTTAATCCATTTTATTTTCATGAAGTGGTTCAAATTCCTCATGAAGAAATGGAGGCTAAGTGACTCAAAACAGATTAGCAAAAAAGCCTGGAGTCTCTCTCAGAATTCTTGGTATGCAGGCTGGCAGGATTCCTATCTGCCCCAGGACAGTCTTACTCTCAAAATCATCAAGTTCAAAAAGCATAAATCATTTCTATGCAGCTAAAGAACAGAAATTGTACTGATTCCTCTCCTTGTTTTGTTAAAAAAAAAAAAAAAGGAAAGAAAAAAAAAGCCAACCTTACACTCTATCAGAAATTTAACATTTGGATTTAGAATAAATGAAAAGAAATGCCTAGTATATCACCATGTATTTTAAATCACTAATCACATAACAACTTGACTTCTTAAATATGCTGTAGCACCAAGGGAATTATTAGTCTGAAGAATAGAAAACACCATAAGAGAAATTTACTTTTCACCTGATTAACTCTTTGTTGTAAAAATAATTCAAACAGCTCTCAGTTAATTTCTGTTAAGTTCAGTCTTCACTTTTCTTTTTCACTTCCAGTAGAAAAGCTATTTAAGAAATAAATGTTAAAAAATACTATGTTATGGCAGTTCTAAGCAATGATCACAAAAATAGGTCAAATGTAGTCATCTAGAACTGGACATGCCCAGACTCTTTAATTCTGTTACTCACCCCAGGCAAATTTCGGTTTGCTGTGAATCTTCTCCTTGGCCAAGTCCCTCTAGACATGTATTTTAATAAAACGTAGAAAACCTTAAGATCATACTCTTCCCCTAGCCCCATGCCCTCTTTTCTCTGCATTGGGACCCCATGGAACACCATCTATGTATTAACCAAGTGTGATAAGAAAGTTGTATTCATGATGCTGAGCTCAATTTGGTGCCTTGCACTCTCTGTGGTTAATGTCACCAAAAGATGTCAAGTGAACAAGTGACAAGGGGAGTGGCAAGAGGGCAGGGGAGGGACTATCAAAACCCTAAATGGCAGATGGTCACAAATATTTCTCAGACAGCCACTGGAAAGGTCACGGAATTCTAACCCATCAATCAGGCAGTGACCTGTCACCAGAACTCAAAGGCTGGGGTAGAATCCTCCTCATCCCTCTAAGTGACTTCACCTGAGGTTTTCCCTATGCAGAAAATTGCATTTGCAGAAGAGGGTAGAGATCTTTGAGAACGGGGGGATGATAACCAGGCAGATTGATTACCTGAGCCCTTTGGTTTCCTTGCTAATTCTCTCTGCGTCACACTGAGAACAAAAAATATTTTCCCTTCCTCTTCTCACTTTCTCCTTATAAAAACGTGTGTGTTTCCAAGTATGTTACATGTACAAGTTACCAGAGGTAAGAGATGCTTGAACCTGAGTTGAGTTAAAGAGGAGGAAAAAAAGACACGTCCCAAAATGAGTTTCATTTATATAATGAAAATAAATTTTTACACAATCAACAGAAACACATCAAGTTTTTTTTTTGCGAAAAATATTTTTAAATAAATTTTTGTCTTTTTTTTTTTTTTTTTTTTTACATTCTGATATACATATGTAACAAGGTTTATGGCACTGTAACCAGAATCAAATAAAAAAAAATAATAATAAGGGGAAAAGGTGGGAAGGAAAGTAATTGATTTTTATTGAATTCCTTTCTATCTCCAAGCTGGCAAATTTGCACTATTTGTCTATTATCGACTGCCAGCTCTAACTTGTTTGCACACTCAAAACACCATATTATTGCACAAGAAGCCAGTGAAGGCATATGGTAAAATGGTCAGTTCCTCGCTATTTCAAAAAAAAAAAAAAAAAAAAAAAAATCGCTTAAACTCAAAGAAGGGGGGAAAATAATCCAGAGTATGAAACACACAAAATCAACAGTATCTTTTGTCTCTTTAAGAATGTGGAGGGTTCTTAGACCACTTAAGCTGCCCTGATTTTCTCTTTGCACCAGTGAGTACTACAGGGCTTGGTTTGGTTGGGTTTTTTTTCCTGTGTGGATGGCCCAGGCAGCTCTCAGGCCTTTGTGATTCAATGTCTTTTTTGTCTCTTGCTTTTGGTTCTTTTTAATTTGTTTAAGTTGTAGTATCTTCGGTCTATGAACCTGCACAGACTATTTAATCATAAACTCTACAAATAGCTTAAAAGGAAAAGGGGGGAAGAAATGAGTTTTATTATATTTTTATTGTTGGCTTTAAAAAATTACTCTAGCTCTAGCCTCCCTGCTTTATCAGTTCGAGGGAAGGAAATGTCAACGGCATCAAAAGATAATTTCTTCTCACACTTGTGAAAAGTAAAAAGTTTTTAAACAAGTTTTGTTTCCATTCACAAACTTGACCCCCATCTAAAAAAAAAAAGAAAAGAAAAGAAAAAAAGAAGAAGAAGAAGAAAGAAAGAAAAAGGAAAAAAAAAGAATCCATCCTTCTTTCTCTTTGTCTCTTAACAGAGACAAGTAATGCTTTCCATCCAGACTTGTGTCAGACGACCGTTTCCACGCCCATCAGCTTTGGTGTAAGGATCCGCGGTGTCACACCATTGTTCAGGTCTTCCTCAAACTCCAGTAACTGCCCCATGAAGTTAAGGTTTGGGGAAATAATTGGTCGTTTGCCTTTGACAAATTTATAGGCGTCAGTCATGGTCATCCGAGTGTGCTTCATCAAGTATGCGATGACGATGGTGGCAGAACGGGACACCCCGGCTTGGCAATGGATGAGAAGCCCTTTCCCACACTGGTGAGCTTCCTCTGGGAAAGGAGAGAGAAGGCCAAGAGGTGCAGGAAGGAAGAAAGATACGGAAAAAGAGAGATTAGCTTTCATCCAGACTCAACAACGTTCTCTTTTGTAAAGAGTAAAGAATAAATAAATTCAAATGGCTTTAAAACAAAGTATAATTTACTAGTTAATTGTATGGATTATGTTGCAACCTCTAGAAGTGGCTAAAAGCAATATTAGCATGAATAAGAATTTACATTTCTCCATTTAAAGAGAAGATGAGGGGAAGGAATCATTCCTAGAAACAGTTCACTGCGCAGGTGGTGGCCACTTCGGGCAGCCGGAGTTACAACACAGTTAACTTGCCTGTGAAGCAAGCCACGGATTAAGTAGACCCTTTTGATAAAGGACGTTAATTCCAATCACTAGGTTGTATGGTTTATCAAAACTAGTGTTGTTAACAATGTCTCTCCCAGCTGTGATAGAGGAAGAAAAAAAAATTTTTTCTTTCTTTATATAATAGAACTGTTCTGTACAGGAACTGGTATTAAATAGATAAGGATTTCAGTCTTAATAAACTCTGCGATTTGAGAAATAAAACCCAACTAGAAAGCCACTATGTTCAGCTTCTTACCAGAAAAGCTATTGCTGCAAATGTAGTTCAAGACTTGCAGCACTCGGGCACAAGACATCACCTGCACTGAACTGTCCAACCCCCCCGCCCCCCGCATCCCCGTGTGCTCTTCCAACATGGCGGTGATAACAAAGATGGAGGAATTCTAATGATGGCCCAGAAATCAGAGCAACTGAAAGTAGCAATACTTTGTAAGTTTTCAGATACATTAGAAGCTCAGGGGAATAGCTTATGGGCACTGCCTAAATGGATTCTTAATCACAATTCTAGACCAAAAGGCGTCCCAAAGAAAGCATCCCTGAAGGAATATCAAGTAGACGAAAGCACGGGAGGGGAATGAGGAGGAGTGATCTAACTTAAACCACTTTTTTTTTTTTAGCTTATTTATTTACTTAAGTAATCTCTACACCCAATGCAGGGCTTGAACTCATGACCCAGAGATCAAGAGCTGTATGCTCTTCCAACTGAGCCAGCCAGGTGCCCCTAAGTTAAACTAGTTCTATTGGCTACCTAGCCGCAGACTGAGAAAACAAACATCATGCAAAATTCCATCTTAAAAATCTGTGAATTAAGCTTACTTCTCATAGATAAAAGTATCTGAAGAAAGTATTTCCCTTTTGCAATTTCTTCCCTTGAGCACACGCTATTCATTGACCTCCACTATGCGCTGCAAAGTGCTAGATTTGACCACTGGTTCCACTACAGGCTAGATGAGTAACCCAGTGTGAGTCACCTGACTGCCCAGAGCTTCAATCCCCCGTCTACATCATGGGAGGAATACTCATTAACAAGGCTCAGGGAATGTGGGAATAATATCATCCAATTCAGGAATAAATAAATAGGCATAGTTAAATCCTAAACATACACTCTGCTTAGTTTGTATTAGAATCTCAGTAAATGTCATCATGGTTGCAAAAACTGCTGCTTTCCCTAAAGCTACACCATGCGATTTCAGTTTATCTAATGATATAACAACAAAAATAACATTGTGCCTATACAGGCTGTGATGCCAAATTGTTCTTCAGGTTAAATGCTCTTTGTTACTTGTTTTGTTTTCCTTTTAAAAAAATCAGATAAGCCTGAATAGCATATGAGGAATGCAGGGGCCTTGCTTGAAATCCTGTTGGGACAAGCATGTCTGATGCTACTCATTAAATGGAAAACAATCTCTTAACTTCCCCCAGCTGGAATTAAGTCAGATGAAATTGCAGTCATAACATCATATATCAACCAGAAAGCTCCTCATCTACTCGGTGACAAATAGTTCTTCCTCGGGGCTCAAAGTTTGATTCAAATATAATTAATAAAGAATCTGAGGTGTCTTTGCAGCCACAAATTAGTTAGTTGCCATTCAGGAACTAACAGAGCATTGGGAACACTGCCCCAGCGTATTGTAGAAAGGCCCCTGCCTTGTAGTCAAGAGCCTTGCGTTCTGCTCCCTTCTCCGACACTACAATTCTTACAATCTTGGAGAAGTCACTTTATTTTTCTGAGTTCAGTGACCACCCAGACTATGCTTCCAGACTGAAGAGTCCATGGTCCTGCATGGAAGGCACAATTTGCCAGGAAAACAGCTGGGTGACGAGACCAGAACTGCCAACTCTACAGCAAATCCACCAGACCCAAGGTTTTATTTTTGTTTTTTGTTTTTTTTCCTGATAAAGGAGCACCAAACATGAGTGCATTCTTCCTGGGACAGAGGCCAGTAACAACCTGCTACAGTATTTAAGAAAAGTAGTGGATCACCTTTTTGTGATAATGAAGGTTGGAGTCACTTGAAAAAAAACTGTGGAGCATCTGCTAGGTGCCCAGGTGTCCCCCCCAAATGATAGTTTGAGCCTTAAAACAGTTCAAGGCTATAGAAGCCGCAAAAATTAAAGTTAGGATTAGGGTTAGGCTGGTGGTTACTTCCTTCTGGAGACTGAAGTCTACTGTTGTTAGAATTCCACCCTCGGGAACTACTCAGGCTACACAACCTGGTCTTTCCGACTTTGGGGTAAGTCTTATGAAATCTAGTACCATCTTGCTAATGTTCATTCATACCCTTCTGCTACCCAGTGTTTCAGAAGGGAGACAAAGCAAGTAGAAAGGAACAACAACTCAGCTCTCCACTCCTGTCTCCCCTGTGCTGATGTGACATGTAAAAGATGTTCCCGACAGCACTGTTCTATTGCAAAACATTCTTCAGAAGCAGGCTTTCAGCAAACGCCACCTTTGCCTCAACCTCACATAAAGAAGCTATCCCAAGTGCAGATGAATTCAGCCCCAGGTAAGGGAAAAATGGGCAAGTTTGGAAGTGGTATCGTCTTCACTGTATTTTACCTCTTGCAAGGCGAGGGCAGACATGGTAGACCAGATAGCCACAGCACCAGCTCTGGCTTCCCAGGGCTTTCCTCTCCATTACTTCTTTTGCAATTCTGGGACGGAACATATCCGTGCGCATCCCCACCATCTTTTCATTGAGAAGGAGAGGGATGTGGATTTCCCCAACCAAAAGGAATCACTGTTTCTTTATACCCATCCCAGGGGCTCCCATGCATTCGTTCAACGGGCCGTGACTGAGAAGAACACTTTGGCCACACCAGATGGCAAAGCCTGAAAACACCTCAGAGCAGCTTTTTGGCAACACAGGCATAAACCTTGGGCTTGATATCAAAGCAAAAGCTGGAGGGGCAAAGAAGGTGGAAGATGAGGAGTCCCCTTGGGAGATAGTTACCGATGAACTCAAAAGCCTCTTCAAAGTACTGCCTCAGGTTCTGCTTGTTGCTGTCGGTTGCCGGCAGCCTCTTGTAGTTGAACAGCCCTTTCTCGTAGTGGTAGAGGGGCAGGTGAGTGGTGACGTTGATGACGTAGCCGATGTTCAGCCGCTGCATGGTGTCCAGGTCCTGAGCGTCCTGCTCATTGCCGAGGAACAGGAAGGGCAAGATGGGCGTCAGCTCCGCATTCTCGATGTCAGGGGTGGTGGGGATGGACTGAGGTAGCTTGCTCGGGGCTGCAGACGCGCCGCCCCCCACCTCCCGGCACTCTTGGAGCTGGAGGGAGTTGTCACAGAGGTTTTCATGGTTCTGCTTGAAACTGCTAAGTCCACCTGGAGCAAACACACAGAAAGTGACCGTGACCATCCCTAGAACTTCAGAGTTGCAGAAAATGCCGCTGTCCCCAGAGACAGTAAGTGCATTCTTGCAGAGGCACGTTTCTAAAAAAATAAGATCAGAACAAAAATGCAAGGCCATTTGGAGATCCAGGACAAGCTTCAGAGGATCTCACTGCATGTGGTACTGTCGCAATGTGGCTCTTTACACAAACCGTGGCATGGTCCCCTGGAAAGAGTTCATTTGCAGCACCAGGCAATTTTATCAGGAGCAGATTTGACCTGCCTCAAGGTGCCATATGCTCAGCGGCCTACATAGAACCTTGTACTTTGGGAGCCAGGGAAAGCATGGCCAACCTCCGTGGGCAGTGTAGGCACGCCTCGCACTCTTCCATAAACTGACCTCACCCAGAAAGACAAGTCAGTTCCCAATACGGACGAGTGGCTATGGACAGGGACCTTGGAAGACCCAGATTACCTTGGCTATAGTCCCAGGAACACAACTTCTTGGCTCTGTGACTTAGGCAAGTTAATTTTTCTCTCTGTGCTTGTGGTTCCACATCTATAAAATGGGGGTAATAGCATCTACCTTTTACTGTGACTGGGAGTCTGGACTTAATGAATACAGGCAAAGTGTGCAAACCACCCCCCCATGAATAAGTCCAGCAGCACTTTGAGGAATAGAGCTTAAGAAAGTGATCTAACCAAAATATCCAGGTAGATGTACAAAGAGGTTTATATAGCATTATCTGTTTTACAGAAAAGGCCAAGGACAAAAACAAATCTTAAAAAATGAAAAGTTATCATTTTCACTCAATGGAATGTTATGTAGCCATTAAAAGTTGTGAAAGGAATATGGAAACAAAGAAAATGTTTCTATATGTAATGTTAAATGGAACAAAGCCAATTCAAAAACACTCACCATACTCGTGATCAGAAACTAAAAGACCATGCAAAAAAGAGCACTTGTTTAAGGTAGGAAATTTATGGATCACAGTTTCTTTAACTTTTTCCTTTAACATTTGTTAGATGTATCATACACATGCAGAAGCCCAAAGGATTATCAGGAGGGTCAAATGACACAATGTACATATAAGGTCCAGGAAATCTGAGTTGATATTATTCCCACCAAATGGGCTCTAATTCTCATCAAACAACTACATACCCTGGCCTTCCCTTTGAAAGGAGGGGGAAGTTAGAGACCTCCTAAAACCTGAAAGCCTCCAGAACACAACATTTATGCCCTCTGATAGTTTTAGGAGATAAGGCCAGAAACACAGAGTTGGTACAGGATACGGTTGTGTTGAAATAGACAGGAAGTTTATCTGTCCAGTGGTTTCTGAACATAACTTAGGCCTTCCCCATTTCAAGTCTCATCTTTGGTATCTACAGCAGGAGCTCCAGACTATAACCTAGACCAAGTCTCAAGGCTGTGCTTGCCCAGAACACAGCCAGCTAGGCGTGACAACCCAGCAAGTCCTATTTTCATTAAGGTCCAGTGGTGGCACAAAGATCATTCAAAGAGGGTAATATTATGGTCACTCAGTTCATTCATTCATCGGTAAGTGCCAAAACCTATCTTTGCTTTTTGAAAAGAAAAACAGGAGCTACAAATTCATTTTAATGGATTTCTAGAATTAAACTCTGCTTTTACATATTACTAGTTTACTCTGCTATGAAATCATGATTAAAAGTTTGTCTGTGCCCTAAGAGATTATTTTTAAAGTAAAGAGAAGAAATGGAAAACAAGAAAGACTTCAGTAGTGACTACTTTCTAAAAAAAAATTGAAATTACCCACCATCACCATTACAAACCCCATGAAAGAGACTATGAAGAGTTATTTAAAAATCCGCTCAGCTTTGCCTCCATAAAATCCAAGTAAACAATTCACACTGATTCTGTGATGGGAACCTAATTCACTTTTTTTTTTCTCCTTAAGAAAAGGGCAGTGGTTACACTTTTTCATATGAGAGGAAAGACCAACAAAATAAATTCAAAAGAAGTCTCTAAGGGGTGTGGGGAGGGGGGGCTTTTGTCTATTCTTATTTAGGGTACTCAAGCTGTAATTTGTCTTAAAAGCAGCTAGTTTAAAAAAAAAATGCATGCCAAAAAAACCCACACACAGAAAAAAGCAGCATACAGCTTTTTAAAATTCTGTCTCTACACCTCCTTTCCCCATGACATCAGCTGGAGGCTCCCCACCTGCCCAGTTGCCATAGCAGTTACACAAAGACATACAATGACATCAGTTGGCATGATATCAGCTCTTTGAGTACAAACAATACAAGAAGAACTACTTTGTTTAAGGCCTTTGGTGCAACTGTGTTCTGGGGAGCCAATGATGTAATGCTAACAGGTGGCATGGGCCTTCCATTTGCCTAATGGGGGGAAAAAACCCATGGGGGAGGGGAGAAGGGAATCTGAGACAGACAGACACAGAATGTTTCGAATCCCAGGGGTGCCCATGTGCAAAACTACATGTATATGGTATGTTTAAGCCATGTGGGAACTCTGCTCATCACTATTTGGAGATGGAGAGGATAGAAAAGGAAATGTTATGACTCAAACACAGGAGTTGGACAAGAAAATCTTCCTTGAGGGGCATGAAGAAACAGTCTCCTGTTCACTTGTTGGTCTGCTGACCAGCGCAGGCACCAGTTCTCACTAAGGGTCGTGCATATCCACACACAGCCGTCACGCAACTCTCCCAGGGCAAGGGGGGTGCTCCAAGCCAAACCAACCAGTCAGATCTCACAATGGTGTTTTTTTTAGAGAAATGTCTGCAGAGAGAATGGTTTTCTTCTCTTAGGAGATTGGACTTGGAAGCTGGGGAAGGAGGGCAGGAAAGACTAAGGCTAATATGGTTTTCTCCTCCAACCACCTTCCCCCCACCCTATCCCACTAGGGGCTGAACAGCCTGATCACTTAATGAGGAGACTGATTATGTCCTGTTCCTTATTACTACATAAGAACATTCTAACAGGATAACTAACAAGTGAGGTAGAGACAAAGTAGCTGGTGATTAAGAGCACATGTTAGAGGCAGACAGATCCAGGCTACAATGTTGATTCTGTCCCATGAGAGCTGTGAGTCATGATGCAAATCACTGTCCCTCACTAAGCTTCGGTTTACTGATCTGTAAAGTGGGCATAATGTCACTTACCCATGGAGCTGTGGTAGGGGCAGCCTATGAAAACATGGTGATCTATGACCAGACATTTGATAAATAATGTCTTCTTACTCTGCTATCATCACTGTCCGTGTCTTCATCTCCCTTTGATCTGTCCACACTGCAGTCCATGAGAACCCTAAGTGCTTGGCAGTGGTTCTTAGGCCAGATGGTGTGGATCTCAGTCCCAGCCCTGGAGACACAAGCTACCAGATCCTGAGCAAATTTCTTACCTCCTGGTTCCTCAGTTTCCCCAGATATAAAACAGGGATAATAATCATCCTACCTCACATTACTGTTTTGAGGATTAGACTGGTTAGTAAAAATAAAGTATTTTGAAACAACATCTATCCATGGTAAGCCTTTTTTGTTTTCATTACTTTGGGAAACCACTATTTTAAAGATCTAAAATTTTTTTTTTTCTTTTCCTTACTAAAAAGACTCTAAATGATCAGTAAGCAAATGTTCCGGAGTTTTTACTTTTAACATTTTATTTAAAAAGAGCTAAGGCCGGGGCTCCTGGGTGACTCAGTGGGTTAAGCCTCTGCCTTTGGCTCAGGTCATGATCTCGGGGTCCAGGGATCGAGCCCCACATCGGGCTCTCTGCTCGGCGGGGAGCCTGCTTCACCCCCTTTCTCTGCCTGCCTCTCTGCCTACTTGTGATCTCTCTCTCTCTCTGTCAAATAAATAAATAAAATCTTAAAAAAAAAAAAAAGAGCTAAGGCCTAATGGACCTGAGCGGTTTTAACATTTAAATAATATACTTTTATCATAAAGAAAGCCACAGCTCCCTATTCTTCCTAAACAAATAGATTTGATTTCCTTTGTCCTCGCTTTCCCAATAAAAACTGCGTATTTTTTGAATTTCTGTGTGGTTGTTTTTTGTTTTGGTTTGGTTTGGTTTTGGGGGTTTTGTTTGTTTTTTCCAGAGACAGAGTATGTTTTAAATAAAAGTGTTCTTGGCCCCTCCCTTCCCCCACACCCTAGTCCCCACCAGGCTGAGCCATCTTCTTGTGCCCACAATTACTTGCAGTCACAGTGCAAATATTTTCAAGGCACGAGCAACACTGCTGGGGGCAAACATTTCCAACCTTATCTCAAAACTAGGTTCTCTGCCGAAATGAGCATGGTCAGCACTTTGATTCTGAATGGGAACAACAAAGAAGATTCTACCCCTAAAGAAAAATATGTAGAAATACAAGTCCTGGTTTCTTCCAACAGCACTGCCACAGACCCACAGAAGCAAGGGACTCTGGTTTTAGTGGCAAAGCTCTTTGTAGCTTGGTTTCGGCTCCTGCTGCTGTTTTGGCCATCATGCAGTTCTAGAAGCAGCAGAGCCTTCTGTGATATGATTCAGAAGCGGTGCTCCGGGTGGCAACGGAAGGAACCACGTCCAAAATGCAGGAGCTATAAGCAAGAGATTTCCATATTCTGAAGATGGACAACACTTTCGCACACACGCTTTTAGGTTTCCTGTGAAGCCGGAAAGTGAGCACTCTCCAGAAATGTCAGGACAACTCTCACTGAAGGCCAGCAAGCGGAATAAACACCCAAAGAGAGAGGAGAGGGATGAAAATGCAACTTCTACCAGCTTGCGGCGAACGTACCGATCACCCCTTTTTGTTGTCTGTTTTCTCTTAGGGGGAGACTAGACTTTTATTTATTAGTTTTTTTTAAAAGATTTATTTATTTATTTCAGAGAGAGAGAGAGAGAGAATGCAAGCAGTGGGGAGGAGCAGAGAGAGAGTAAGAGAGAGACCCTCTCTGCTGAGTGCAGAGCCTGACGCCGGACTTGATCTCACAACTCTGAGATCATAACCTGATCCA